TAAAGCTACTTAAAATTATTGAACCACTAGTCTAGATCTCTTGAAGGACAAATTGTTTGAATGTGCCGCTGGAACTGGCTGACGTCTCGGAGTGGCCGATCATCAGCTATCACCACTATGCTCTTGTGCTGTACTTTTGAGATTAATGGAGTATACGAACGCCGTTGATAACATCTTCATACTCGTATTTTTATTCTTAAATCTAAGAGATCTTTCAAAGGTAATAATTATTACAGAAAAAAAAATTGCCTGAAAAAAGAAAACCTTTTGTTTATGTATTTTTATATCGTCTGTGTAATTCTATTGCTTCCTATTATTTAAAAAGGTCGAAGGTTTGATCGTTTTATTCAACCAGTCCTGAGATCACGGAATTCATTTCGAGAATATAAAACATTGAAAATATTTTTTTCTAGTAATTCATATAATGGAGAGATATGCATGACACAATGTATGAAACTGTTTGCTGTATTTTTTTATTTGCAATCACGACGATGTAAGCTCACAATCCACTAGTTAGGTAAGTAGGTGCTGGAGCTAAGCACATATACATGTTAAGGAGAGAGAGAGAGAGAGATGGCCAGGGTCTGAAATCCCTCTTCTCTGATTACTCTTATTAGGCGGGCGGTAAGATTTCTTGGGCGTTGGTTTTTATGTTTTCCCCAGCCTAGACATTAAGCACGCATGACCCATAATTAAGAATACTTAATAAAATCAGTCAGATTTAATCCAAAAGTAAACGTGAAAGAGACAAAACAAGAAGCGAATTGTTAGACTAGTTATTAATAACCGGCTCAAAGATTTAATTTAATTTGAGTGTAAGCGTATTAAATTTTGTAACTAAACTAATGCCAGTCTTAAAATAAACTTTTGTTTTTGGGTTGTTTATGTTGTTCTATTGTAAAATATGAGTGATACAACATATATTTTCGACTGGTGGTAGGACCTCATGTGAGTCCGCGCGGGTAGGTTGCGCTTGCTTATTTCTGCCGTGAAGCAGTAATGCGTTTCGGTCTGAAGGGTGGAGCAGCCGTTGTAACTATACTGAGATCTTAGAACTTATATCTCAAGGTGGGTGGGTGACGTTGTAGATGTCTATGGGCTCCAGTAACTACTTAACACTAGGTGGGTTGTGAGCTCGTCCACTCATCTAAGCAATAAAAAAAAATATTTCGATATTCACGTCAATGTGAATTTCTATGAAGTGGCAGTCGAGTAGCTTGGATGTAATAACTGATAAAAGAAAAAGAGGGCTTTTAATCTATACGTTGTAAGTTCTATTGCTTGTGGCGGATTTGTTGTTTTATGTAAATTTGTGAAGTCCATTACGGAAATGGTTGCATTTGTTCAGGTTGAGGTTACCAAATTAATTGCAGCCACGGTACTGTTATTTAGAAACAAAGTAGTTCGCCAGTGGGAACGAATACTGGCCGCAAATAAAATTTTAAACTTTCGTCCTGTTTTTTGTTGAAATCTAAAACAAAAACAACAAACGTAGGTTTTTTGGCAAAGCTTTTACAGTATGTTTATGTTATGTTTTTTGCATATATACATATATTGTTTTGTATTATATATTATGTGTTTTACATATATTGTTAATGCTAACTGAACAAACCACCTCAAGCACCGGTCATCGTTCTCGTCGAACCCGTCGCTTGCGACGGAGGGCTCGACGAGTAAATTAATCCACAGACACAGCCCACTGAGTTTCTCGCCGGATCTTCCCAATGTGTTGCGTTTCCGATCCGGTGGTAGATTCTGCGAAGCACGGCTGTTGCTAGGGTTCGTGTTAGCAACGTCATCAGGTTTGAGCCCCACGAGTTCACCTACTAGTTAAGGTTACGCTGAAATAGCCTCTCAAGACTATCAACTTAGGTAGGAGAAAAAAAAAGAACAAGCCATAAAATTGTTTTAAACAGTGACGATGATTTATGAAAACACGATGAAATATTATTTTTGATTATTTTACTACTTAACACGTGAAAAATAACAAAAAATCTGTAAAGTGATAAAATAAAAACTTCAATTATCTATAAAATACATATTCTAGTAATATTCGGACTTGCATTCTACGATTTTTCTTGTCCTTATTTCGTGTCGCTATCGACTTTTTTGTCAGCTATAACGCGGCAGAAGTACGTGTTATATTTAAAAAAACAAAAACGCAGTTTTGGTACATATTTTTTGAAAACTTTTACGAGTAAATAATGTAGAGAATCTTAATAAATTAAGGTACAAAAGGAAACTTTACAGTAATACTTACTTTGTGGTTTCCAAGGACAAAATAATATTTGTTTGGAAGGGTTTTTAGAATGCGAAGCCTTTTATTGCTTCCGACGTATCTGCATGACAAAGGAAGTCTTTTAATTAGGTGACTATTTTAAAGTCACCCCGCATACAAATGAATGAAGATTAAGCGCATTTTGAATTCCGTATTCCAATTTCGGGTTAGAGTTTTCTACAATTTTGATTTAATTCTTCAAATCGTAGTGTTCACGTCTCCGCCAGTGCAATATTGCTTGCGAAATAAAGGATCAATAGAATGAATATCATGCAATGACCTTTCCAGAACATCGAAGTAATTTTAATGATCATCGACAGACTTGAGAGACTGAATTTTTTTTGGAATTTTTCTACCATAATTTGCACTATACTATTAACGAAATTTTAATGTCATAAAACTATGATTTAGGACTTTTACCTCTTTAAATATGCTTTATTTAACAAGATATATGTCGTATATAGAATAATTTGTTTAAGGAAATATATTCAAAGCGTGCCAGAGCTTACGGTCAAAGCGCGGGTGTGGTCCGTGTATACAGCACCGCCCACTCCGGACTAATGAATAACATGCAAATGACGCTGTCTAATGAAAATCACTCTTTACTTTTACAGAATTAAGTTTCACTCGGAAATTTGCCAATCGTTTGGGTATGGTAACAAATTTTCGACTTTAAATCACGACAACATAAGGATGGTTTTATTTTAAGCAAAAAATCCTTGTTATATGTATGTACATTTTTGTCTTTGTTTTAGGATTTGTTCTGAACTATACAACTGTTTGCAGAAAAGTTGTCCTATAATAGAAAGTGAATAAATACAATTTACGAGTTTCCTTTTTTTATTTTATTTTATTGCTTAGATGGTTGGACGAGCTCACAGCCCACCTGGTGTTAAGTGGTTACTGGAGCCCATGGACGTCTACAACGTAAATGCGCCACCCACCTTGAGATATAAGTTTTAAGATCTCAGTATAGTTACAACGGCTGCCCCGCCCTTAAAACCGAAACGCATTACTGCTTCACGGCAGAAATAGGCAGGGCGGTGGTATCTACTCGCGCGGACTCACAAGAGGTCCTACCACCAGAAATTACGCAAATTATAATTTTGCGGGTTTCACCATTATTACACGATGTTATTCCTTCACCGTGGAAGTTAATCGTGCCTTCACCGTGGAAGTCAATCGAAGCAAATCGTTCCTTAGCGCTATGAATTATTCCCTTATTCAAATGAGGTTTAAATTGAGGTCTTTTCGGTAGGCAAACTGCCTGACTATACCCCTGGCCCACGACCCACGGCTCACCTCAACACATAATTGACATAAGAGCTTGAAATCTTAAACGTATTGCATAACGGCTGACCTCCTATTCCCATTACCCATTATTCAAATCTACCGACGTGGATTACCAATATTTCATATCTCCAGTAAAAAAATGCACCCAACAAGAGTTTTAGCTTCAATACATCATGCTTTCGAGACAGATTCTATTCTACTTGCGCGCTAACATAGCCTGGTTATACATAGTAGTATTAAGGGGAATAAAATAAATAGTAGTGAGCTCTAACCCTTAGTTAGCATTAACTATAAATGATCCGCAGAATCCAGACATGTAATCGGCTCGGAACACACATGATTTGCATACATTGTTGCCGGAACTCTCATAGTATTCGGGCTTCGTGGATTACAGGAAACGAGATAAAACTTTTTCGTAAATTCCTTTCAAAGACTTTCAAAGCAAATTTTAGTGCATTTTCGTATTAAGCTGACTCGTTGAAAGGATTTTTTTAGGATTGAAAGAGTCAAAGAAATAGTTAAGAATGCAGAGGCAATGACATCATCAATCATGTCATTAGATCGTTAATGACGTCATTTGGCACTGGACATATATTTAGAAGGATTCGTATAGATTTTAAATCTAATTTCATTAAACAAAATGATACAAGAATGAATTTAAATACTGCTTAGAAACAAAACAAACAAATATTAATAAATTATTAAACAAGTTTGATTACCAGATCGCTGTTTATTCTAACCAAATAGTTTATGACGTCACTGCTCTGAATAGTTTTGTATGGGCTATACCGTTTTATACCAGGAATAAAGTCTTCGAAATCGGATCGCAGTCGACGGCTCCGGCTCAATTGTTGTTTCGAACTACACAATATGGGGAATTGACAGTGCTCTCGATCCGACCTGTTGATATTCGCCGTTATCAAATATCTTTTTATTGTTCTAAGTAAATGGTATTCGAGGAAGTTTCTCAATGAAAATATGGAGTGCTTAATAGGAGCGTAAATAAAATATTAATTTATTGTGTTCAAGAGCTGTATATTTCTCTTTATGTGCTCATAAATTATTGGACAAATCTTTGCGGTTGTCGTCAACTGAATATTTGAGTCGACTATTATCAAAGCCGGCAATGTGGCTTTTGGACAATTATTGGTAAATCAGAAAAACGAATTATTGACTTTGTATTCCATGGGCAGTCACAAAACTCTTCGGAACGACATCTTAGATAAATAACAGGTTAACTATTAACCTTTATTTAATGCAGGTTTTGAACCGTATTCTTTGAAGGAGACGATTATATTCAAATCAATCTGTATTGACATATCAATAACATTTTTTTGTCCAAATGCACAGATTGCCACCTTTGATAATAGACGACTCATTTATAACACGTACTATCTAAATTAGGGATTTTAGAGTAATATAATAATAATCATAGAACGCTTTGATACGTTAATCTTGATTTAATGAATTCTGTTACATTTTGCGCCACGATCTTTGTAGATTTCAAAACGAACGCGTGATCCACATCGATGTTCTTCACGCTTATATGTGGTTCAAACGCTTTCAGATCTTCAATGTGACTGGCTGGAGTCCAATTATCTTTTACACTGTAAACAACATTTGTCAAATGTTTGATCTTATCAATAGCAGTCCTATTTAACTCACTCGACGAGTCTATGATTTCGTAAGCTAATACCAACGAATATTTTTCAATGTCAGGATTGAGGTACATGTACAATATTCTATCTACGAAACGCAAGGGAAGTGAATTGATTATTAAATATAGTCTGACTAAAGCATGGCTTATAGTTTTCGGTAGCATTTGTATCAGCTGCAACAAAATTAATGTTAAATGATGAAATTTTCTAATAACGTTCACTAATTTTCCATTACGTGTCTCTGCGATCTTTTGTAGTGTTGGGAACAGCAGATTCACGGATACAGTCCGTTTTGTCAGTTGTTTGTTTCTGTCCAGTAATTCGACCAGTAACCAGGAGCCACTCGAGTGTCCTATTAGATGTAATTTTCGTCTATGACTTATGAAATTTGTCAAGAGATCGAGCTTATGACAGAGTTGCCCTCTCACGTTGAACAAGTGCTTTTTGTTCTCCATATACATTAATTGTTTTGAAGGCAAGCCGTGACCTGCATGACCTAAAAAAAATTAAAAGCGTGTTATTTAACGGGTCCTAAATACGATTTTTGCTTTAATAATAATTTTTTTTTTTGGAACGAAGTTCCTTATAGGACTATGCGGAGGGGTACCCTAACCGGGAAAAAACGTCCGTAACGTAAGATTTTTATTAGTAATGCACACAGTGTACGACTTAACTTTGTAATAACGTACAAAAAATAACATATTTTATATCATTCATTGACCACGATCTCAGAGCGTTCGTTTGCGCAATACACTAACTCTTATGCAAACTACCGTGAATGAAGTGTACCACAATAAGTTCGCACGTTATCGAATAACCGTGGGTTGTTGCGAAACTTCCAGTTTTATTTTCTTTATACCTCGAATAGAACTTAAAATTAATATTTTTATAATAAGGAACTTCGTTCCTATCCGGTGTCCCACGACACCACACATCTTTTTTTTATTGCATTGATGGGTGGAGGAGCTCACAACCCACCTGAAGTTAAGTGATTACTAGAGCCCATAAACATCTACAACGTAAATGCGCCACCCACCTTGAGATATAAGTTCTAAGGTCTCAGTATAGTTATAACGGCAGTCCCATCCTTCATATCGAAACGCATTACTGCTTCACGGCAGAAATAGGCAGGGTGGTGGTACCTACCGATGCGGACTCACAAGAGGACCTACCACCCGTAATTATAATTTTGCGGGTTTGATTTTTATTACACGATGTTATTCCTTCACCGTGGAAGTCAATCGTGAACTTTTTTTTTAAGTGTGCATTTCATTAGAAAAATTGGTACCCGCCTGCGGGATTCGAACACCGTTGCATCGCTAGATACGAACGCACCGGACGTCTTATCCTTTAGGCCACGACGACTTCACAAATTTTAATAAGCTCCCGATATTTCTAAGTTCCCGAAAAAAAGATAACACCTTTTTTTAATACAACTGCTACATGAATTGAAAACACTATTTCGTAAAGTTATTCGCTTACCCACAATGCAGACTGACAGCTTTGTGTTCTCGTATAATTCGGCACCGAATTCCCTGTAAAATTCTGGTATCCCTGGACAGCCGGGTATGATCACAATAACATCGGAGTCACTATTGTTGGCGAATGGATCACCCCATGCGATCAACTGAGTTGGAACATTATTAAGGGTTTCGTAAACGTCCATGTTTTTTTTTAATACATTCACTACACGTTCACTTTTAAATGCTGCCAAATTGCGAATAAAATTAAATTTTATAGAGCTACAAGATTGACTTCAATTTTAATGAAAACAAGTACGGACAAGTTGTTGTGGCTCGTTTTCTTTACAAAGGTTCTGTAGCTGGCAATGGCGTCGATGGTGTACTAGCTGATAATACATATTAAGGACTTCTATACTACGTATTCTAACTAAACTTCACAGTTTAGTTTTCTTGTACACTTAATACTTACTTTACTGGTAGTTTGGCGTCTTTAGTGGTGGTGGGGCGTCTTTAATGGTGTTTTTGTATTGCTTAGATGAGTGGACGAGCTCACAGCTCACCTGGTGTTATGTGGTTACTGGAGCCCATAGACATCTACAACGTAAATGTGCCACCCACCTTGAGATATAAATTCTAAGGTCTCCTATAATTCTACCGTTACAAAGGCTGCCCCACCCTTCAAACTGAAACACATTACTGCTTCACAGCAGAAATAGGCAGGGCGGTCGTACCTACCGGCGCGAACTCACAACAGGTCCTACCACCAGTAAAAAGGTGTAAGGACGTCTTTACTGTTACTAGAGAATCTTACTGTTGGTATGTTGGTAGGTAGGGCATCTTGTGAGTCCGCAAGGTTCGATTTGAAGGGTGGGGCAGTCGTACTATAGGATTTAGAACCCATATCTCAAGATAAGTGGCGGCATTTACTTTATTGATGTCTATGGACTCTAGTAGACCGTGAGCTCGTCCACTCAACTAAGAAACAAAAAGTAAACTTACCACTTCAAGAATTTGAAGTCGTACGTGGTTAAATATTAGGTAAGGTTTTAGGTATATAATGAATATATATGGACCATAAAATTTAAATTTTGTTGACAAGACAGACGTATATTTTGTAGCTACTAGTAAAACTTAATCGTTTATGAGTGTACCTAGGCTACCCTGAAGCCTTCTTTAAAAATTGTTTAAAAAGTATACCCACTAATGAAATACCGAACTGATTTTGGTTAATAAGGAAATTTAATATAAATACTTTTAATTATGAATGTAATTTATTTTGAATTTAAAATAAATAATTAATAAAAGGTTTTTCTCGTTAGAAAATATAACTCCAAAAAACAAGTTATTGACCATTTTTGAGGCCAATGAAGTTCAAGAAATCTTTAAGGAAGATCGTCTGTGTCTCTCTTTGTCCTTGATTTTCAGAATTTACCCAAAACAGACTCTATGTTAGTGGATGTAAGGTTTGATTCTAAAAAATAGTTGGGATTAGGGTGAGCGACACCATCGTATGGTAATGGGGGCACGTGTGATTTGCGCTCATGAGATTCAATTTCACACACCTGTATGATTGACGGAGATATTATGCAGGTGTGCAGAATTTCTATTTTACTATTTCATCGTTTTCCCGAGATATTTTTGTTTCATTGCTTTCAATATTGATGATTGTATTTCAACAGTATGTTGTATTAAACAGGGACTCTATTTATAATGTTATAATAGTTAGTATATTGTAGCAGAAATAATATTTTTATATTCAAATTATAAGTAAATTTGACGTAGCTGCGTAGGACGGTGGCTTTTCTTGGACCCGACGGTAGAGTTTTTTTTGACTTTCAATAATAATCTTCATTGTTATTTTAATTGAATTGAATGATTATAATACTTTCTTCGGTTTTCATGAGTCGTGGACATGATTGGAAATACTTTGGTCATGGACGACGGGACACGGAAACGGTAAAAAATTCAAAACATCGGAAATAACAAAATGACCGTAATTTTTTTACCGTAAAACTGTAAAAGATTAAACCTTGAATTGAAAGTACCTACATAGTTTTAAATGACGGATTTTAATTTTTTTTTATTGCATAGATCGGTGGACGAGCTCACAGCCCACCTGGTGTTAAGTGGTTATTGGAGCCCAGACATCTACATCGTCAATGCGCCACCCACCTTGAGATATAAGTTCTAAGGTCTCAGTATGGTTACAACGGCTGCTCCACCCTTTCCCCTGATTTTCTCCGAGTTACAAACACAAAGTCGTGAGGACGAAAGTCATGGATGGAGGTGGTCACTACCCTGAAACAAACACGAAGAGAGAGAGATTAAGTAATTTTTAAAAACCAACCTTTGCAGCCGGCCAAGTAAACAAAAATTAAATCTTTTTTTTATTTTTTTTATTGCTTACATGGGTGAACGAGCTCACAGCCCACCCGGTGCTAAGTGGTTACTGGAGCCCATAGACAGCTACAACGTAAATGCACCGCCCACCTTGAGATATAAGTTCTAAGGTTTCAGGTATAGTTACATTCTCAGTTCAGTTAATCGTCTAATTTCTTGCATGTAACGTTCATATTATTTATTATATAGTGAAAGTAAAATTTTTATTCATTGACTTGCATTTCGGCTGGTTGCGTGTAGTTTGCCTTGTAACATAAAAAGTGGTCGGGTCCCATATCCAAATAGCTCTCAAGGCTAACGGCATATTTAATAAAACGTGAATTTATAATATGCTAATGTGATATGGTTCAAAAGCAAATATGGAATATTTATCCAATCCATATGATTTTATTGTTGAAATATTTCTGGGTGCGAATTTTAAATGGCGATGTTATGATATATGGATGATATATTCCAAAAGTTCAGATCGTGTTTTAACGGGGTATCTTTAAAGATTAATATAAAATCAAATCTAAAGTAGCAAAGGACCTTGGCCCCTCGAATTAGCAGAGGCTTATTATGCAATAAATTTAAATGACACTACTCAACTAATCTAGTTCAAACCAATTTTATTTGGCCGTGAGCACGAGCACTTATCTATAATCTCCTAAATCTCATATAATCTTAATTAATTTTACTGGGTTATTCAACAGAGAAATACACAGTGAGGGTCGGCACATTATATACATTGCATAATCGATTGATTTAAATTAAAAAAAAAAACTTACAACAAATCCTAATTTTTTTTTTAGAAATAGATGTTAAAGAAATTACACGCTTTTGCAAATTAATTTATGTGCATAGGTTATTATTTAATAATATACATATATTTAGGCTTCAGTCGCCTAAAAGATGAAAATGGTTTCTAATTGGATTTCATATTTCAATAAACAGTTGGCGAGAAATTTTCTTCTAAAATCATCAAAATTAAACTGCTCTCTTACTTTTCAATAATCTCGTAGAAAATAAAAAATTAAAATTGATTTTCACATTGTGTTCGTATAATTTTAAATACCTTTAAATGAAATTCGGTAATTCGTTTATAACTGGTGGTAGGACCTCTTGTGAGTCCGCATGGGTAGATACCACCACCTCGCTTATTTCTGCCGTAAAGCAGCATTGCGTTTCGGTTTGAAGGGTGGGGCAGCCGTTGTAACTATACTGAGACCTTAGAACTTATAATATCTCAAGGTGGGTGGCGCATTTGCGTTGTAGATGTCTATGGCCTCCAGTAACCACTTAACACCAGGTGGGCGGTGAGCTCGTTCACTCATCTAAGCAAAAAAAAAAAATTAACAACATCCATATCTGTTGGATAACATGTTACGTGTGAACTGCAAATGGGTTCGTCTCGGAAAATTGTCGAACAAAAAACACGTGAGCACTTAATGGAAAGCCAGCGCGTGGACAGGTCGCAAGAATTTTTGGCTGGTCCCTATCGGATTTGGGATTTTTTTTCTAAACAATGGCACCGTCCCGACAAACTGCGCTGGATTATGTGAAAATTTCACGAAGAATTTCCGTGAGATACCCTTGAATGGTTCAATGTGAGTGAAATTCTCCCGAGTTCAATACATTCGAATATCCTTTTGAGATTGAACTGACACAAAGCGTATTGTTACAGACGAGAGGTTTCTATCTCGTGCCGTTTTGTCACGAGGACTTTCAAACTTATTGTCTTTGTTTTATTCTACACGTTGAATAATATAACTTTTAAATTCCAAAGTTCCANGTGAGATACCCTTGAATGGTTCAATGTGAGTGAAATTCTCCCGAGTTCAATACATTCGAATATCCTTTTGAGATTGAACTGACACAAAGCGTATTGTTACAGACGAGAGGTTTCTATCTCGTGCCGTTTTGTCACGAGGACTTTCAAACTTATTGTCTTTGTTTTATTCTACACGTTGAATAATATAACTTTTAAATTCCAAAGTTCCAGTTTTACATGCCAAATGTATTTTGACTGCTGGAAAAAAAATTCAGGTCCTTTCAATACAATACTAAGCAAGGAATCTGTTTATTGGAAGCGTTTTGGGACGTACTAAATCATTCTTTCGAAGAAAGAGAAGGACCATTATCGAAGTGTGAAATAGGAATTGTGTATGTGTGTCGTTCTCCTTGATGTTTCCGTCAACGGGTATTTTTTTATTGCTTAGATGGGTGGATGAGCTCACAGCCCACTTGGTGTTAAGTGGTTACTGAAGCCCATAGACATCTACATCTAGCTCTAAGGTCTCAAGTATAGTTACAGCGGCTGCCCCAACCTTCAAACCGAAACGAATTACTGCTTCACGGCAGAAATAGGCAGGGCAGTGGTACCTACCCGCGCGGACTCACAAGAGGTCCTAACACAAAAAAAAAAAAAAAAAAACACCAGTAAGGGTATTATCGATTATCTGCTCCAATATGACTAGCGAAGCCAATTTTTTTTAAAGTATTGGTTTAATGTGAAATGAACCGACTAAATCACATAGTAGAAGAGTTGCATATTTTGTCTTAACGGGGCTCCGGATAATATCTTCCCCAGGGGATGAGACCGGTCCGATCGTCAATATTGGCGGTGCGGTTGTAACAATATATTAGTACTAGTATACTATTAGTTATTCTTCAGATGAGACAAAGTGACTATGAGTCAGCGTCGTAATTTTGTTTTAAAAAGTACCAGACAACCTCCTCTGGGAGTGCTGCTACAATGCTCATATTATGAGATCAATTAATTATTGACTAGCGTGTCTAGAATTACTGTACACTATATTTCATT